CCAGACTCCCCAGACACCACCCTCCCTTCCACTGACTCTCCAACTTCTCCTTATTCCCCTCCTACCTCCTCTATCCCATCCTCTGTTTCTCCTGACATCTTCTCTGGCTCTAGCTCTGATTCCACTTCTTCCTTCTCCTCCCTTCCTGACCCTTGCTCCACTTCCTCCCGTGACTCCTCCCCTTGTCTCACCACTTCGACGGCTAATGCAGTGACCGCCATCTCCAACACCATCCTCTCCAATGCCCTCTTCCCCGACCTGCCATTCCCTCCCGACTCCCCTTCCTCCTTCCCAACTCCACCTCCTCCCTCCTCTGCAAGCATGGCTCCGTCCACTGCCACTCCTGCTTACTTCTCCCCTGCCTCCTCACTTACTCCCTCAGTTTTCGTCCGGCTGAATGGAGTTTACACTTTCACAGGTAAAACCCTCTGAGTTACACACCAGCACGCACACTTGAAACCAAGACACAAGAAGCCTAGTAACTGAGTAGAAAAAGAAAACCAAGTTACTACTTTGCTATTATTTCCCTCAGTACAAAAACTGTGAGAGCTTCTTTTACATGCACACCCACACACGCAAACACAGTGGAAAAAATGGCATTGTGTGACCGTGTCACAGCTATTTGATGGCTTTTTCTTGTTTCCCTCTTTCCTCCCGTTAATAATCCCCAACCCTAAACCTCAAACTCCCCGACACACACTCTTCCACTCATCTAATTCACCATCCCGCCTTTCATCCATCAATCCAAACATCCAACCATCCATCTACTCATCCACTTGAGAAGATGCTGCAGACAACATTGCAGGTATATCTTTTCACCAGTCACCTGCTGTTCTGACTTCCTGTCGTCCTAAGTATTTGTCCCACTGTCTGTCCAGTTGTAGGTCTGCATGTCTGTGGTTCTGTCTGTTTTTGTCCGTTTGTCACCATGGATAAAAACAAAAGCTAGTCTGGGGACACTTTGGACTTCAGAGCGGAGGGATGAATATTTCATATTCCTGCCCATGTATTGCTTTGTTGGTGCCTGTCCATGCATAGCAAGGCTCAAAAACACAAGCTCACACATTGTTTCACACATTTGCACCACGCACTCAGCCTCACAAAGATACGCACACTAGCATGACCCCTTAAGTGGTACAAGTCATTTACACTATGTTCTACTTCCTCTGTGTCTTTCTCTATGTGGGTGTGTTTTTCTGTGTGTATGTGCGTGTGAGTACTGGGAGGGGGAGGGGGGTCAGGCATTGAGGTGTTCTTGGGTCTTGTCTGCTTTCCTTTGATGCTGACAGCAGGATTTATGGGCTCATTCTCAGTCTCGCCTCGTCAGCATGCCCCTCTCACCTACACGCCGGCCAGCCGGAGTGTGTGCTCCGCTTTCTCTGTGTGTGTCCTTCTCCCTGGTGCTCCACCGCCCCCACCCCCTCCTCTCCCTGATCTCTGTCTGCGGCTGGCCTCTGTCTGGCTGTTGTCATGCCCCTTCACTTCTCTAACTGGCAGAAATGTGACTTTTTCCTCCAAAATTGGCCGTTCACCATCTCATTTGGCGTCCCAGCTGGTTTGAATGTGTTCTTTCCTTGCCTCCTCAGTTTCAGTTTTGTCTACATCTCTGGTTGTCAGTGGGTGTTGCTGTGCTTCTAATTCTCATTTCTTCATGCTTATTGCTGTTGCTTGAATCCTTGACATCTTCATTGGTTTGACCCCATTCACCAAGTGCGAGCCAGTCTCTCTTTTCAGCTCTATTTCGCTCCTTTTTATTCCCCCATTATCTGTTTCTGTGAAGTCTTTTTATGGTTTTCGATATGAGAAATGGTGCTTTGGAGTATCAAATTGACACCGTGCATTTGATTGGGTCTGAAAAGTCAGGCGAAATAAATGATGAAACAAATTATTTCCGAGTAGATTACTTTCTTCTCTGGGGGGAAAGTAGCTAAAGTGGCTGAATTGTGACAAATATATCAAATCTCTGCTGTTTGGTGAAAGACATATTCTCAGTCTGATCACTGTGAATTGAACATTCTACCCACACACTTCCCCAAGTCCCCCACTTCAGATTTTCTTTTGCATACACTAAATGGAAATCACTGTTTTTATACTTTCTGTACAGGTGCAAAAAGTACTTCTGATACTTAGAATTGTAGTAAAGTAGAGAAAGTATGTAAAAATAAGCTTATTGACGGTTCCTTGTAACATATTTGAAATCCAACTTTTAGTGTAGTAGGAGTACAGCTTCAGTGGTTTCATTTTACCTCAGTGATAAAATGCAACAAAAGTACTGTATGTTCGTTCTAAATAAAAATATACCGAAGCATATGTTTCCACCCAGGGTGAGGACCCACAGTTTATTTGCTGTGGCTGGGTTAAACTAGCAGATAACCTTACATTTGTAGTTAATCAAATGATAACAAAAACTAAATCTGGGGCCTTAAGGGCCCCTGGAGGTCTGGGACCCTGGAGCAATTGCCTGTGTTACCTGGTTGGTAATCCTACCCTTGGAGTCCTCAAGCCTGAATATTTTCAGAGTTTCCTAAACCACAGAGGAGCATAAAGTCTGTCAGTCAGAGTAGATGGAAATCAGCACAGCCAAGAGGGCGAGGATTTCACTCGTCATCAACAGTGTGCATGACCGCAGCATTCTTACGTGCATTCTAAGTGTTAAAACGCACAATACTGTTGCATGTTAGTCCTGAACAAGCTTTAATGAAGGGTGATGCAGTGGCCTCTTTCCTTTCGCCTGACTTTTTATCATATCCTTTGTCTAGATATTATTTTATATATTGGCAAGTGTTGTCTGCTCCCCTCTTCTTTTTTCTTCTCTCTCTCACTCTCCCCATTATTCTCTCTCTCTCCTTTTCTATTTCATCATCTATCTGCTACTTCCACCAGTATTTCTCACCACCCTTCCTCCCCCTCTGCACTCAGTCTCTCTTTCTCTCTCTCCCCCTCTTCTTCAGTCTCGTCTTCATTTTCTGTTGCTGTTTTGTCTCTTCCTTCCTCGTGCACTCTTCCTCCATCCTTTGTCTCATTATGACTCCTGTTTCCTTTTCTTTACTGTCTAACTTCTCTTTCACCTTTTCCTCTCTCTTCTGCTCTTCAGACCCCACAGCCATGTCGACCTCATCAGGAGTGGACCACGCTGTGATCGGAGGGGTGGTGGCTGTTATTGTCTTCATCCTGCTCTGCCTCCTCATCGTCCTTGGCAGATACCTCATCAGACACAAAGGTCACATACCCATGCAAGGACACAAAGGACACAATCATGCTTGAGTGTACACAAAGATACATGTGCATAAATATGGAAACATGCATACCAAGGCAGAATCTTACAAATATACATATGTAAATCAAATCCAGGGATACACAGAAATGCAAATGCACTTATACCCAAATACGAATTCTTTGCATAAATCCCACTTAAGCTAAAAAGAAAATGAATGAATGACAATAAGTGAATTTTTATTCATTGCTTTGGTTCACACAACTTCCTGTGAGATTAGATTTCCTGACATCATCAAAGCCTCAGCAGCATATTTTCAGTTATACTGTATATGGCCAACTATGGGATTTAAAGTGATGTGGTAGAAATAAATAATTGCTTCCTGGCCTGATTGTTTAACTGACCCTGTTGCTCCTGTGTTTCCAGAATAAAGCAGATTCAAATGTTTTAGCTCCAGTGGGCAACAGATGACATTTACAGAGCAGAATAGACATGTGGTATGAGAGAAAGTGGATTTGATCACTTGTAGGTATAATATATAATAGACTTCTTGGCCATTTCTTGACTTTTGAAATCACTTGCCGATTCTGCTCTGGTGTCCACAGATAGCTGCTGTTGTCCATAGCCAGTGTTCATAAATGCTGCGTTTTCAGTACTGGAACCAAACGGGCGGTACACCCCGTACTTCCCTTAACCATCACCAAGCATAGTCTCTGAGGTTGACACAGATTGTGCTGCTTTGTTTTTCCACTGTATTTTCTCTCTGTCAGTCTGTTTAGAGGAGGGAGGGGCTGCTCCTCTCTCACACATGCAGTCAGCCGTGTGTTTATACATGATGCTTGTAATGCTCATGCTTGAGGCATGAAGATGCGGACATTTAACCAATCACCACCGACTGCTCAGCGTACAAGCACCCCCTCCCCCTTCACATTTATTGTACTTGATTTTAGCACTACCTCCTGAGGGGTGGCAAAATCTGGCTCCAAGGACATACCCCCAAAGCACCTTAATGTAAACAAACCGTGATGAGTGTTACTTGGCCCAACACATTTCAGTGGGTTCCTATAATGGAAAAAGCCCTTTAGTCTCTTGTCCAGCGTGTTTGCCATTTTACCAGTGTAGTGCTCCTCACAGCTGTTCAAATCACTGCACAACCACCTAGTATCACACTACTGAAGTTCCATACCAACAACTCAGTCATGCCTGTAAGGATGCTTCAGAAAAGTCAAACTTAATGTAAGATTATATGCACTATCACACTCACTTTAAAAGTAAGAGCAAATATACCATTATGTTCTGTGTCAGGGAACAAGTTGTGGAGTTTTAAAGTTGCTCTTTGAATCTTTGCACGAGTTTCAGTTGAGAGACCTGTACATGAACTAATGCTACAGTATGTTAACCCAAACACGGGGAATGGGGAATGAAGCCCTGTTAACTATTGATGTCGAGGCCATAAAATAATTAGAAATTCAGGTGAAAACTGATCCAAATTAGGTCAGAATGTGAAAGAATTTTAAACATCAGTGTTCTACTTTGTGAGACCTCTTTTCAACATCTATTCCATGACTTAATTTTACTTACAAATAAGTCCTAACACATTGAAATTTAGTCAGATATAAAGTTGAACTAATGATAAGAAAAATTCTGTATCAGATAAACACCATCTTTCAGCACCTAAAGAAAAGTTTGCCATGTAGTACTTCAGTCTTATTAAAAGCAAAAACAAAGCACAAAAAGTTCCTGAAAACACCTGAAGTGAACATTTCAACACCACTCCAGTTTATAACAGTCTCTGTCCTGCTGGCCTTGTGTCATTTTACATTCCCAGCATTTGACTTTTACTGTCTCAGTGTTCTTACTTCTCCTCCCTGTTGATCTCTTTTTCTCTCTTTCAACAGGAACGTATCTGACCCATGAGGCCAAAGGCTCAGACGACGCCCCCGATGCTGACACGGCCATCATCAACGCAGAGGGAGGCCACTCTGGAGCAGAGGACAAAAAGGAGTACTTCATTTAGATAGAGGATGGAGCAACGGAGGAAAGAAGCAGAAGGATGAGGAGGGGGAAAGGTTGGAGGACATGGAATAGAGGAGAGGAGTGAAGGAAACAACTCCATTTAGTTTTCATGACGCTTCAGTTCTTCACTCGATTGGAGGGATGATGGGAGGGAAAGGGAGGGAAAGAACTGTGGGCAGGATGAATGGATGAGTTGAGATTCAACTGGTACTAGCCTCTTTGCATTGATACAGGGAAGTGAGATTTTGCACTGACACATGGATGAACTGAAGTTAAAACACACATGCGCACACACACACACACACACACACAAACATATACATGAGTAGGGTTTGGGGAGAGCTCTTCCCACAGACTTGAACGCTCGTTGACGTGTAGATTAACAAACACGAGCCTCCTACTAACACGTCTGAACAATGACACATTAAAACACTTTCACTGAAGCATCATGTCCCATTTCTAATAATCAATGCCTTGAGAAAACAAAATTGTAACTCGCATTCCGGCTTCCTGAGCTGATATTTCACTTCCGCCACCATACCAAGCTGTCCCCAGCCAGCTATTGTCTTTTCATGTTTTTCTTCCTCATTGTCTTCATCCATCATAAGTGTGACCCTCTGTAAACATCCTAGTGACAGCGAAATCCATCCAAAGCAAATTATTACTGACAAACCTAATCTCCCTCTCTCAGTTTAATCTTTTTTATGCCATCAGACCCCTTCACTGGTACAAACCAATGAATTTCCCACGTGCAGCACCGTGCAACATGCTTTACTTGACAGAAAATGTTTGGTGTGCTGTAAATACACTTCTCTCTGTCTTCTTTCTACCTTCTGTCTTTTCTTCTTCTACCCCTCTCCTCTCTCTGTGTGTCTACATTTCCCTCAGTCCTGTATCTCATACAGTCTGTTACTGCGTTACAGTAACTTATATACTCTTAAAAAAGCCTGCCTGTTTTTACTACATGGAAATGCAGAGTTGAAAATATCAGTATCTGGGGAAAAAATAAAAATAACAATGATCATGTTGCGATGAAAACTAACCTTAACCGCAAATATTTGTATGAGGAACATTTTCTTTTCTTTTTTTGTTGCTCTTTTACTCCTTTTCAGGACTCCAGACAGATTTTCTCTCACCAGTGTCTCACTGTGTTAATGTCAGTGTTAACAGTTTACAGTGTCTGTCAGTTTGTCAGTCAATGAGTCTAATTTCTGACTTGTGTTTTGTTTTTGAGGCTTAGAGTTTCGATGCTGCCCTTCTCTCCCTGATTTGCTGGCCCCCTGCTCACAAACACTGAGCTGTAGCAAAACCTCAGATGAACACAGATTCAAAAGGTGTCAAAGTGTTTGGCGGAGTTTTCCTGGAGTGTCACTGCCCGGTGTTTGTGGACCGCTGTGGTCTTCCTTCCACTTGACCCCCAATGAACATGCCATATTTCTCCCGGCAGCAGACTGCTTGTCTTGGCGAAGCCACCCAGCGATAAATTCATTGACTTCCTCTATGACACAGTTGCTGCTTCAGGGATGTGAAAATGCTGGCTTGTTTTCCACAATGGGGCCCAACAGGACTGCCTATATGCATTATGGCAAACGTCCTGGCAAAAAACCCTTTGTGCTATTGTTTCTTTTTGTGTGTGTTATTGCAAGTAGGAATCATTTGCCAGCTTAGCAAAAGGTTCCCATAAATGAACTGTGTTTTATTAAGGTTGGGAGTTCGCCTTGGCACCGGCAAGCACTACTTGGCCCGATCGTGGAAATTGATTGCAATCTATCTAAGAGGCTCTGGGCTCCAGGCTGTACACATGCCAAGGTTTGGCTTGGTGGGCAGGGTGCCGAGCTGGAGTCTGAGCTGCACTAACATTGAAGAAAGTCCTTTAGGAATTTAAATGTCCTCTTTTCTTTTTTCCCCTCCGTTCCGCTCGTCCATTTCTTTTCATTCTTTAATCAATCATCCAGTCTACATCCTGATCCACCTTCACCCAGTTTCTCCTCTCCTCATTGCTCCTTCCCCCCTCCAGCTTTGATCAATGTCCGACTCTCCTTGCCAGTCTCTCTTTCATTCAGTAGAAGTAGCGTCTCCAGGTTTGCCAGCACGTGCTGATCGCTCACCACAGCACTTGTGTTTTACTTGGTGTTTCAGGGGGGAATCCATCAGCTGTTGTCAGTCTACCTGTTATAGTTTTTGTACACTTTTTTTGGGAACGTTCAGGGACTGTGCTTTTTGTACCTTTCCCCACATTGTCACAAGGGGTAATGTGGCCTGAAGCCAGGTCAGCTGGCGTGCTAAGCTCTCAATTTGAGTTTGGGGTTGCTAAATTGGCGCTGTAGTAAACTTGGCTTAAACGGTGCATGAATTCTATTGAAGACATCAATCTGAGAAAACCAAGATGAGTATTTTGAAGAATTCAGAGCATGTTTACTCCATGTCTGCAGACCAGAGCACGAGCTTTGTCTCACAGAGCTCATTGTCCATTGTGAAAAGTAGCCCCAGTCTAATTCTGCTATGTGAATGGAAAGAGGAATACCTGCCTCATTCTCAGCAAAATGTGATGTCGTTAAAAGCTAATGGACCTGTACTTGCCTGTAATTCATTGTCTTGTCTGTCCTCTTAGTTAATGTGCTAGCATGTAGCTTGCATGAGAAATGGCTGGAACTGTAGATAGTACTGGAGATGAGATGTACCGACAAGCTTTTCCCATGAGACAAGACCGGCAGTCTGCCCGACTGATCTCCCCGCTGTTCTCTGATCTGCAAACATAGGCCGTATCCCAATTAAACCCATGTCTACTCCCTTGGGATCCCACTGAGGCGACTAACGAAGTAGGACTTATTCTGATTTTCCCGCCATTGCTACATTGAAACAGCACAGGAGTGCGTACAATGGCGTTGAACTGGGATGTGCAGTCAGTCTAATTCATATTTCAGTGCATCAGTGCAGTAATGACTCACTGTCACCAGATGCCAGCAAACAGCAGCTTTTCATGTCCCGCTTGAGTCAGACCGAGCTGTCCTGCCCCGCCACTTGACTCTCAGCATCTCCCCCGTAGGCAGTCGCACACTAGCTGCCGCTCGTCTCTTTTCTTTTTGTAGTGTAAACAAACTGATTTTTAAATTATGTTTTGTAAAAGGTGTGCATAATCATAAATGTATTACTTCTGATTCAATTGATAATCATTTTCAATTTTTTTTGAATTAGATTCTCCAAAACTTGAATGTTAGAAATTTTAGTTTTTACATATTTTATTGTTTCAACAACCATTTTTTAAAATAATTTCATGTATATAGTGTTGCCTTTACTGAATACTCTTACAAGCACGTCATACACACTTGCACACCCACTTTGGGTACATCCACATTCACACACATATCTGGTTATGCACGCCAGGCATGATGTCTGTGGCTCTGGTGTATTTGTACATATGTGTGTGTATGTGTGTTTGTGTATGAGTGTGAGGTGTGTATTAATTGACCCAAACCGACTCTGGAGACACTCTATGTGTGTTGCGTTCACAAAAGTCACACCGTTTTGATGACTAAAACAGCGTCTTTGTTTCTAGCGTTATTATTTTGGATGACAAGTCTTCCTTTGGAATAAATATCCATATCACATGAGAATAGTGCTGTCATGTATGTTAATTTGTACTATGACTGATGATGTCATCAAGGCGAGACCCAACCGCATGCTGTGGCAGGTTTGCGTCTTTTGGCTGTTATGTTCATCGAGTATTTGTTTAATTTGGTTTTATGTTAAAATACCAATTCAGTTGTTGACTTCAATAAACATGCATTTGGGTTAATTTCACCTCTCTGGTTGTTGGTTTTTCCTGTAAAGATAATAATGTTTTCTGTTTTGGTTTGTCATTGTCTTGTTGTGGTACCTTGCAGTTTACTACACTGCATCAGGACAATGTGACATTTTTAAAAAATTAAAAAACGTTTCAAACTCAATTTTATCAAAAAGGTCACATGTAACATACACATCAGTATCTTCAGAATTGTAACATAGTATTATATGAACATGGGTTTGAGCAGGTTACTTGATAAGGGTCTTTTAAATTTGAAGTTTTATAAAAAGTAGTAGATTTTTCAAAAGTTAAATGTGTTTTTTTAATCAATAATATCAATTTTTTTATTGACTGTGTCTGAACATGATCATTTCAATAATATAATGAACCTGAGAACATAGTTCTAAGTCTAAGAATCACTTCATGTAACACTGAATATGTTTAACAGGTTACTAAGAAGCCACAGTCAATTATTTTTATATTATGGAGTTAAAGAAATATCCAGCAGGGGGCGGTAAAGTACAATAAGTCTAAATAAGTCTCTTGCTAAAGCAAAAATATTGAGCAGAGACAACTGACTGAGACGTTCTTTAAATGTATTTGAAGCGTATTGTTTATCAAATATATTATAAAATATGGCTTTCTTTGTCTCACAGACAACCATAAACCTGTAGGGGGCCCACAGCCCTTTCTTTCTGTCCTCTTCTTTTCCCAGCCTTTGCTCTTTTAATCTGCAGTGTTGTCTGGGGAATAGTGTTACCACATGTTGACACTGGAATGGAGGTTAATGATCAGCCTTGCACTGTACAGGGGCTACTAGTTAATTACACACTGCGTAGTCAGTCAGCACGCAGATGGATATTTATAACTGTCCGTCTGTTTGAGAATAAAAACTTTTTAGTGAAGTTGTTCTTGATGGAACTTAACTGGCGAATCTTTACCAAACCAGTGTGAGCTAGTTGAAACTGAGCGACATATGTTGATGTAGGTGCCAACAAAGGAGTTCAGTGCCAAAGCTGGTCTCAGCTAAGATTAACGTAGTGACTAAATGTATATTCTGCAACAGTTTGCTGTATTTTCCAACAGTGAAGTCACTGAACTGTTATTCAAAGCAATGTGTGTTCTCAGGGCTTTCGTTTTATCAAACTAGCGGTGTAACTGACTCAGAGTTTCCCTAAAAAGAAACAGTTGACAACAAAATCCATGTTTCTCATTAAAGTCCATG